CCCTTCTTTACCTCTTTGCCTTTTGGCTGCGTGCAAGTGGGTCCTTGTGACACACGGGGATGGGGGCAGCCAGCGCTCAACCTGTCATCCACGTGGCTGGCCTTGTACGTAAGAGGTTATGAACAGGTGGAGCTTTCCTTACCTCTTCCCCTTCCCCTTTTTTTTCCTTCTCTATTTTTCTTTCCCTTTTTTTCGCTTCTGCGCTCTGATTCACAATGTGACAATATATTTCCTTTTTTCCTTTTCCTTTTTTCTTTTCCCTTTTTTGCGCTCTGATTCACAATGTGACAATATATATCGTCATATATATATCTGGTGCTTTCATGTGGGACCAATCATCCGGGTTCTGGTTTTGCCTTGGGATGTATTGTTGTCGTATTAGCAGATGTTGTCACACTGTATCGGAGCTTATGGTGTTTTTCAATTGCATATCTGTGGGTGGTGTCGAAGGCTTTATTGTGTTTTCTTTCTTGATGACAGTGCACGTAAGAATTCATTTGCGTCGAAAATAGCATGAATCATCGTCCTGTCATCCCACATTTTCTGGTTCCGTTTTTTGACTATGGTTATGGTAGATTTGTTGTGGTAATCTTGTCTGCATCCCGGTTGATTTTGTCCCGTTATTCGGTCTAAGCAAGTAGCGGTGCTTCATGTGGGATCAGTCATCCGGGTTTTTTTATTGTCTTGGCATCCTGGTTGGTTGTTTCCCGTTGTTCGGCCTTTTGGAACGCAGGGCGGTGCTTGTATGTGGGAATTGTCATCCGGGATCGTCTTTTATACCGGTTTTCTGGGTTCTTTTTGATTTTTTTGCAGACAAGAATGTTTTGACATCCTGGTTGGTTTTGTCCCGTCGTTTGGCCTGTGGACAGGGGCGGTGCTTGCATGTGGGACTTGTCATCTGGGATCTGTTTTGTTGCCCCCTGTTCTGTATTATTTGGCTGTTCCCTTCCTCTTTTCTTTGCCTCTTTGCCTTCTGGCTGTGTGCAAGTGGGTCGATATGACACACGGGGGTGGGGGCGGCCGCCGCTCAACCTACATCCACGTGGGCGGCCTTGTACGCAAGAGGTTCTGAACAGGGGGAGTTATAAGGAAGAAGATTAAGTCATGAATTCATTTTTTCCTGTTTTCCTTCTCTTTCTTTCTGTTTCCTTTTTTTCGCTTTTGCGCTCTGATATGCTTGTAACATCACATAATTTGGCTATTTGCTGTAAAAATTGGTACAAATTCAACCTGTCAAGCCACCTTGACAGTCCTACGTATTCTCGGCCTGCTGAATCAGTGGCTGACATTCTGAATAGCCATGCAGTTTGGAACAATCATTGGAATTATCCTCATGCTGACACATTGCCGTATCTCTATTGTGTTCTTAAGGCCCATAAATCTCCTCCCACACTCCGTCCTATTCTTGGTACCACTGCCCGAAACAATCTTTCTTCTTCCTCTTCCCATACGGCCCGRCGAAGTGACCTRCACCCTTCCCAACGAGTCCAGCGTTTGCATCACCGACCGCCTCACAAGCTGGTAGCTAGTACAACGCCTACTTCAGCTCGTTTGAGTACAGCACTTCAAGGCGTCATCCGTACTCTTCGCGAAAAAGATAATCAACTCTTTCGAATGTTGGATTGTTCAGAGCAGTGACGAGGTCATGCTTGACCTCAAAAAGAATAAAGCTTCTCTTAGAGGTCTGGCCCCGCATACAGTTGATTTCACTACTATGTATACTAATCTTTCTCATCAACGAATTCTTGACAATGTTGCTAATGCCGTTGATGAGGCGCATGCCTACGCTCTTGCACAGGTACGGCAGCATACACAGACACGCTCATCGGGTGTTGCTCTTCATATGCTGGTCCGTGGACCCCGTGCAGGGGAATGGACTA